ACCTCATCAAACAGAGGAAAGAAAAAATTCAAATACAAGCAATAAGGAATGAAAAGGGTGTAATTACCACAGACTCGGTGGGAATTCAGAAGATTATCAATAGCTACTTTGAGAACCTCACTCTCACAGGATAGAAGACACAGAAGAAATGGAGAGATTCCCAGAAAGGAATAAATTAACACAACTGACACGACAAAATATAACCACTCTCAATAGCCCAATAACAGCCAATGAAATACGAGATGTAATTAAAAACCTACCGGCAATGAAATGTCCAGGTCCAGATGGATTCACAGCTGAATTCTACAAGACATTTATAGAAGATGTAGTCCCTATACTCCTCCAACTCTTCCATGAAATTGAAAAGGAAGCAATCCTCCCAAAATCATTCCTGAAGCAAGTATTATATTGATACCAAAACCAGGGAAAGACGCAACTAAGAAAGAGAACTATAGGCTGATCTCCCTCATGAACATAGATACCAAACTCCTCAATAAAATCCTAGCAAATAGAATACAGCAAATCATCAAGAAGATCATACACCATGACCAGATAGGATTCATCCCAGGGATGCAAGGATGGTTCAATATTTGAAAATATATAAATGTAATACACTATATCAATAGAGCGAAAACTAAAAAAAAACCTGATCATTTTCATTGATGCAGAAAAGGCTTTTGACTCATTCATGTTCAAAGTCCTACAGAAAATTGGAATAGATGGCCTCTACTCCAATCTGGTAAAAGCCATTTATGAAAACACAACAGCTAACATAATCCTAAATGGGGAAAAACCGAAATCTTTTACTCTTAGATCTGGTAGAAGACAAGGATGTCTTCTATCACTACTCCTATTCATTATAGTTCTGGAATCATTAGCTACAGCCATTAGACAAGAGAAAGAAATAAAGGAATAAGAATAGGCAAAGAAGTTTAAATTATTTTTATTTGCAGATGACATGATACTTTACTTGGAAGACTCAAAAAACTCCACCAAGAAGCTACTAGAATTAATACAGAAATTCAGTACCATAGCAGGTTATACAGTCAATACCCAAAAGTTAATAGCATTCCTCTATTGCTATTGTGAAGGAGAGTCACATGGAGAGAAAACATTCTCTCAGGCTTTCACAGAGAGCACATTGACCAAGCAATTGCCGTGACTCATCCACATGGCTGACACTGACAAATACACTGAGACAACAAATACACTGAGAGGGAAATTATAGAAACAATACCTTTTACAATAGCACCAAGGAAAATGAAATACCTTGGAATTAATCTAACTAAAGAAGTCAAAGATCTT